AGGGCTATTTTTGGGCAGGAACGTACAGGATCGGAGTTCCGGCTGGCTCCCAAGTTGGCCACGCCCAGCAGGAACTCATTAGCATAATAGGCCACACCCAACAGCAGAAACTCATTAGGATTGGCTACATTAGGGGTGTGTGGCCTAACATGCAAAGGAGTTCCTGCTACAAAAAAAGGCCCTGAGTTTTGACAACAAACAAGGTAAACAGAATAAGAAGCAAAAGGTGGGTGTGGCTGGATAACCACACTTCTGGTAACATGTGGGTGCAGCCTAATGTGCTAATGAGCTGTGCTGCCAGGGGTGTGGCCCAATATGCTAATGAGTTCCTGCTGTTGGGTGTGGCCTATTATGCTAATGAGTTCCTGCTGGGCTTTTTCTACAAAAAGAGCCCTGGGTTAAATAAACATTTTAAGATATCATATAGTCACACCTTTTGCTGTAACTGACCAATGAATAAATGTCTACTCCAATGATGTTCTGCCATGCTGTGACCAATTATGATTTCTGAATGTTATCTTTTGCCTATGTAATTTTGAGTATAAAACTTCATGTACTTCCTTATATTGCTCAGAAAGCAGTCAATTTTTGATAGGCTATTTTGGCCTAACTGCTTTCAGAGATTTCATTGCAATTAAATATCTAAAGAACTTTTCCATCCTCACTGAGACTTCTCTTGCGTGTTCTGTTATTGGTCTGAGAGCACACAAGCAGGGATTTGTAGAACACCAGTCATAATAGATAATACTGAACTTTTTTGTTTGGAAAAAATTTATTGGTTTCTTAGTCTACATACCCTAACGACAACTACACAGACTACCTACCACCACACACTAATCTAAAAAAAAAAAAAAGCAAAACAGGAGTTATACAAAATATGAATGGTATATACTTGTGCAAAATTCTCTTGTTTTGTCATACATGAGTGAAAATCGTTTATATCAGCTTCAATAGATGTTTTACATTTAAACTAAATGAAAGAATTATGATTATCAAATACTTTTAGTTAATACATCTCAATTATTTTCCCTTTCTTCTCTTTCCCCCCTTATTCTTATCTTTATCAAAGTCTAGTCTAACTTTTAAAACTTTGGGAGCAGCTGCTTTCAATTCTGATGCGGAATCCTCTTCTGAAGAGCTGCTAGCTTCCATGTCTGAATTTCCCGAACCGTGTGAGCTGCATTCTCCTTCTTCTTGATGATTTTTTTCTCCTTCTGTTGTATATATCTCGGTTGTTCTTGAAGCTGTTTCAAAAATCTTTGTGCTTTATCAACAGAGTCATTTTTTTCTTTTGAGTCTTTGTACTTGAATGTTAATTCTTCAGGTAAAAGCCATCTGTAGGGTATAGTGGTTTTTTTAGAGGACTGTTAAAGCTTTATATTGTTTTCTCTTTTTTTCTGATTTCAAATGGTACATCCTCTAGAACTCTTATTTCCGCATCATTGATCTTCAAGGCATTCGCATTTGTGGCCTTGAGCACCACATCTCTTGTGGATATTTTTGAGAATCTGACCATTATTTCCCCTGGTAGGTTTTTCTTCTTGATTAATTCAGGATATGTTCTATAGACCATATCAAGATCGCTCTGTAGTACATCCAGTTTCATACCTGTCATAGGGGCTAATGCTTGGGTCAAGATTTCTTTAAGATTCTCACCACTTTTTTCAGGAACGCCTTGAAACCTCAGCACATAAGCTGATTTTTCTGCTTGGAGCCTAAAGAGTTGTTCTTTATCAGAGGCTCTTTCTTTTTCTAGTCGCTCAAGTTTTTGATCAAGTTTTAAAAACAACCTTTTTGACTGCATTAGAGTTCTTTACCATTTGTTTTTGGAATGTTTCAAAATTCTGGTTGAGGTTTGTCATCTGATCCAGCAGGGATCGCAATGCTGCAGCTAACATGTTGGGAAAGTCTGTATTTGCTTCCAGTCTTGAAACCAGAGGTGTCGTTTTGCCAGCTCCCAAGGGAGGCTTCTTCGGCGCCATTTTGTCTTGTCAGCTAGAAATTGTTTACATTCCAGGGAAGTTTATAAAGTTCGCAAAGACCCGCTTTATGTGACAGTACACTTGCTCGTTCAAATAGCGTTTCTCTTCCCTCCTTCTCCCGTGTTGGTAAGTCCTTTGTTTAAAGTCCTTTGTTTAAAGTCTCGGCCAGTTTGGGGGGGGGGATATTCCTCCCTTCTCCCTATTCGTGTTATTGGGGTAGGAGTTCACTTAAAAGTTCATGTGCCTGGTGTAAGATCATTAACTTTTCATCCAGTAAAGCTTTCGAAATCGGGGACACTTGCATTGTCGCTGTAATTCCTGAGCACTCGTCCGGTGTGTGCCTCTAGAGTCCATGATGGCGCTGCGGCAGAAGGACCTTCAGGGCAAAGCGTGCCTCAATCTCTTGGAATTGCGCCTCGGGAGCGGTACAGCTCGAGCCCCATGGCTTGGAACCCCCCCCATGAGGGGTCCAGGGGGAACCGGCTCGGCCGGATCTCCTCCTATTCGCCTCGGGAGAGGCCACCCCGTACGGAGATCCGTCAGAGCGTGCCCGCCGAGCGAGGAGCCAAAACCGGAACCGATAATACTGACCTTGATAGACCAGATGTTCTGATTCAGTAGAAGGCAACATCATGTGTATTCAACACAGACATTTCTAAAATGCATTTATATTAATTCCTACTTAGAAGGTACCTCCAACTGGACTTCCATCATAGTTTCAGCCACCTGAATGAGAACTGGGAATAACTGCCAAATGCCTCATCTGACAAATCTAAAACAGGCACGAATAAAACAGTTGCAGCCAGTTCTATGAAAAGCTACAGCCCTTGCTGCTATTCTGCCCCCCAAGGCTTTTACTAAACGTGCAGTGCAATATACAGCCAAGTGAAACTGATGGACAGACTTCACTGTAAGAAGTCTTAGAATTTGCATGTTCTTCACTGCAATTGATCCACCTTTCTTTCAAGCTTACTGGGAAAATACCTGACCTAATGAGAGAAAATATGCATACCAAGTTAGTTAAAATCCATATAAGACAGCAAGACGAGCCTATGCAAAAAGCAGAGCAGCATCTTTCTCTCAAATACATTTCAATCCACCACACAACTCCTGGCACTCCTAGCAGAGCACCCCTTACCAAGAGAAAAGGGTGCCTTTGCCTCATCTACTGATCAGAACACATCAGGCTGTCAACTCCAAAAACATTTTAATGCTGATCCCTCTCAGCAATGAGTTTCAGTAGTTCCGAAATCATGAATCGTAGAGAAAGTCTTCAGCCTGGACTCCCAGTATAGTATATTTCACATAGCAGGCCATAAGGAGCTACATGGACTTCACCTCCCCTTCCAAGATCTGAGAGGTAGCAGGTGAGTTTCAAGCAAATATGATAGTGCACTGTTGTAGTTGAAGAGTGTTTAATATTATCCTAGCCATAGTTGGGATGGGTAGCCACATTAGTATGTAGAAGCGAAACAGGACAGGAGCCCAGTGGCACCTTAAAAACTGACACTTATTCCCACAGAAGCTTTCACAAGTCAGAGCTCACTCTTGACAGGTTATGCTGAAGAAAATCTTGTTGCTCTTTACTGGACTCCTTTTTATTTTGTAATTACAACTTATAATCTCTCTGTCACTTCCAAGGGTCCCTGTGATTCTAAGCATATAACCTTCAGTAAATAATACACAAACATCTTATGTGTGAGGTATCTTTGAATGTAAATTAAAAAATCCTTATTTTGTCAGGAGAACAAGCAATTGATCCAGAAATCATGGACGAAGAAATGCGTATCAATTTCAGCAGACAAAACAGTGCTTTCATATGCTCCCAAGTATGCTTTCTAAACCAGAAGCACTCTGGATGTATTCCTTACCAAAGTTTAATTCACCTTGGATTCATGCAAACCTGAACTCAAGACAGGAGCGCTTGAAAATTTAACTATATTTTAACACATGAAAACGGGTACAACGCCCTCGTCTTTTTACTTTGTAAAGCTGTGCCATATGGTTGTGCGGCTGAGAGGGCACCTTACAGAGATAATCAACAACAAGTATTAGTTCAACTAGAAGAGCTGCTACAGAGGAATCTAAGAAGCGTCAGCAGTATTTCCACACCATTCAGGGCAAGAAGCCAGATTCATAATTAATTCAAATCATAAGTTCTTGGCCACAAATCAATGGCTGTACCCAGCTGTCTGCCACAATGATTCATAGACCTTAGGGGTATGCTGGAACATTCATACCACCAGAGTTCCCCAGGGGCTAGCACCCTGGACTGCTTTCTCTACTGACTGTTTTGAAGCTACACACACCTATTTGTCTTGTAACCTGTATATAATTGTCCAGGTTTTCTCCACTGCTTAGGCTCAGCTCCTAATTATGCTTACATAGTCACCACAGCACTGTTTTACACACTTGCAATTCAGTGATTCCAAATGGGGTGAGCTGGGACAGTGCAGTGGACTGGATTAACATCATCTTGTCACATTAATTAGATGCCAAGGATGACATCATTGGAAACGCTTGATTTAACAGGGCATAAATATGGTCCGTTTGAAAATCTGGATTTCCCATTTCTCCATGAGAAAGTTCAATAAAATCTATCTTGCCACTGAATAATGCTCGGCAGATGGAACACCAGGCAACAACTCTCAGGGTGCCACCACCTAATTTAATATTCAAATCTGTGAAAAATATCTGGGACAATAAAACAAACACATCTAAAACCAGAGATGGCAAAACTGCCCCCCCCGGCCCCCCGGCTAGGCATCCTTATAAACGTGAGTAAGATATATTCAGTTCTGCTTGAATCACTGCCATCTCCATACTGGTGGCTAAGCTCTGGATATATGCAAGATGAGGATGGATAGTATCTGTTAGTCTGAATGATGTGAAGGGAACAGATATTGTGCAGCTAAGTAAATAAATAAAAAGAAAGATAGTTAATGAATGAAAGCAAGCAAGATCACAAGCAGCAGACACACCCAGTGAGAGAGAGACAGAGAGAGAGTGAGAGAGTACCTGGAAAGCTGTGAGTGTGCCAGTCCCTGGGTTATACAGGCATCGCAGCGAGGGCATGCTGTCCGCCAGGCTGGAGCAGCCCAGCCACAGAGACCGGGGCATAGAGCACTGCAGAGAAAGGACAACTATGAGATGGGACTGTATGAACAGGATGGCACAGATTACAGGAAAATCTGAGGCTGCAATTAATTTCTCAGCAAAGTTGTTGCTGATTGGAACAGCCTCTACAAATGTTACTGATCTGCACGTCCCCCACAGAGAAAAGCAGAACAAAGGTGGGGAACATACATAGCCACTGACATACTGAGTAAGCTCTAATACTTTATATTTTTATTTACTTCATTTATACCTCACTCTTCTCCCCTATGGGGACCGAAAGTGGCTTTCAATAGTCTTCTCTTCTGCATTTAACCCTCGCAACAAGCTAGGTGAGGCTGAGAGTGTGTGACTAACCCAAGGTCACCCAGCAAGCTTCCATGGCAGACTGGGGATCTGAATCTCCCGGATCTTAGTCCTGTTTGTGTGAGTGCTCTAAAGCAAGGTAATCAGCTCAAGGACTTCAGCTGATTAAACTGCTCACTTTTAAACCAACTACCCAATCAAAAGAAATATTACAGTGGAATGGTACATGTGTATCCTGCCCTTGCCTCAACTATCTTTAAAACATCAGGAGTAGAATCATGGGCTCCCTGCTCTCTCCTGGCACAAATCCACTCTGCTCTTCTCCCACTGTCCTTAACCCTGGTTAGTCATGGTGTCGACAGCTACAGTAAACACATTTAATGCTAACCAAGGTCTGAAACCAGCTTCAGACCCTGGTTTGTGTTAATATGGGTACAAAACTAGCCAGGGTGAAGGCATTGGAGACAGACAGGATATGTGAGACAGTGCACAACTTCATAGCCTGTTCCCTTTAACTCTGGCTAAAGAACAAGCAGTATTACATTTGTTGAAGTCCAGTATTTCAACCCAGATAATATTTTAAGGGTATGTAATGAAGGTATTAGTTTCTGCTATTTGAGCAGGGGGGAAATCTACTCTGTGTACAACTCCCTCAAAGATATTACCTGAATAAAGAGATTCATACAGAAGTCATATGCACTACATACGCTGTACCCTTACCTGGGGATTATGAATCAATCTATTCACAGCACCAATTAATACCCTCTCCAAGCATAACCCACCCACCCCCAGTTCACTTGCTGTCTTCCCCCATGCAGTGTCACTTTTCAGAACTGGTTAAATCTGTAGTATAAGTAAAAGTAGGTTGGAAACCTCATTGCATGCAATGGGAAAGAAACAATAAATCCAATTAGAGAGAAGATAGGAAAGAACCTTCACCAGCCCTATTGTTTGGTTAACTTTGTTTGGAGGTTCAGCAGCAAGATTTCTTCTCTGTTACTAAAACTAACTAAAAGCATGTGAAGTCACCAGAGGGAAAGAATTTAGCTTTCAACCACTTGGGATTGATTTACTGAAAAAAATAAAAGATTTCTGACACTATACCTGGATTTTATCACTGAAAGGGTAAAGGTATTCTGAAGTATTTATTGGTCAAGCTGGTCAAATGCTGATATATGTGGACACACAGGGGAAAGCAGAATTATTATTTGAGCTTTTGTGTAACATCCATCTCAACAGTATTTGAGAAGAGATGCACAGACAGGCAACTGTTACAATAGCAGTATTTTGATATTTTGTCTCATTTCCCCACTTTCTGAATGGAAACTAATGATGGAAGCAAATTATGCTGCTAAGTGACACAAAAACAAAGGTAGAGACTCCCAAGGGTAACAATGGGCCTAGGCCAATGCCCAGTAGCATACCTGTGCTATTTGCCCTTTCCCTAGGAGGTAGAATCCAGGCCTTCCTCTTCATCAGCCTACCACTACCAAATATGCATGGCTGATTAAAGTTTTAATTGATTATGCAGTTGAGTTGGATAACACATGAAACTGCCTTATACTGAACTAGACCATCGGTCTGTCACAGTCAGTACTGTTTGCTCAGACTCGCTGCAGCTCTCCAAAGTCACAGGTAACAACTGTTCCATGTTATCACTGATGAGAAAGAAGTAAACTAATTCATACTCAAATGCAGTCACTTGGGATTCCTGTCATGTACATAACAAGATTTATATTTACCTCTACAATTGTTACTTAAAAAAAAAGAAAAAGAAAGCAACAGTTCTTATCTTTAAAAGAACATATACTGATAGAAAATGTCATTCCTGTTCCTGCTTTCTGCCCACCATAGAAAACTCAGTGGCTTTAAATTGCTAACAGCTCATTCACAAACTCAAACAAAAGTAGGACTGCCAAGTCACGGCGGGGGATCTGCACATCTTCACAGGATCCCTGCCGCGGGGGACAGTGATACGCGTTGCACCGCCGTCACCAGGATGTGACACTATGTGTTGCTCTGGCAACGGGACTCTAAACAGCCCCGTTGCTAGAGCGACGCGTAGCGTCACATCCTGGAGACGGCGGTGCAACGCGTATCGCTGTCTCCCGCGGCAGGGATCCTGTGAAGACGTGTGGATCCCCCGCCGCAGCTTGGCAGCCCTAAACAAAAGGCCTCAGGTGCTTCTACAGCAACACCACATGTGTAACTCAGAGAAGTGACCCAACAATGCACCATCATTTGTGGCGTGGACTGTAAGAAAGCTCAACAGGCTCTACTCAAAACTACTGGTCAAACTGTGCACCTCACTACTACACTGACAGCTCCACAAACAAGGAGCCACAGGGAATGGGATTGACAAAATCTCCTCATGAAGTCAACTACAGTTTAAAAAAAATACTAAATCAAACAGCAACTAGAATACAATAGTGTTTCAGCTGGCATCCCAGAGTATCCACCATTCTCCTCACTCTATACCAAGGATCCCCAACATGGTGCCCGTGGGCACCACAGCACTCACCAACACCTTGCCTGGTGCCCACCGGGTGTTTTAGAAAGTGCATGGAGTCAGGTGGGGCTTTTGCCCAACAAGGCTTCTGAATGGCCACTGGAGATTTGATTGGCTGTGCAGATTTTAAAAAATGCTTTGGTGGCAGCTGCTACCACATCACAAGGATCTTCACTGGGCAATTGAACGTCAGCTGTGGCAGCCATTTTGTGGCTGGGTCTATTGGGTTAAATGTAAAAAAATGATTTGCCTTGAAAGCACAGAAGCTTTACGTAGTATCCCTGATCCTCCATGCTTCCTGGTTGAGGGAAAATGCTGTTCAAACAAATTAGAAAGGTGAACTGACTCCAATGGTAATAAGAGAAAGAAATTTTACTTACAAAAATATGTGCACATCTTACATGACATATTCATGTAGGTACATTTAACTTACTATGAACAGATAAACCTCAAAAGGTTAACTTGCTCCAAGCCCAGATAACAGAGAGAAGAGAGGTCCTATATAAGGCCCTGGGGGGGGGGGCAATCAACAGGCAAAGAGGCTCAGAATCTAACCGATGAGAGGGTTGGGGCCAACTGCCAAGTGTACCCAAGTGAGAGAATTCTCTTAACCCTTTCCCTCCCAGATTCTCTTGCATGCAGAGTTACAATATCTAACATCCCTTCTTAACGTCATGTGCAGGAGTTTTAAGTTTCATCTTATCTTGTAGTTTTTCAAGTCTTTCCCTTGATAGAGGCTTGGTGTGGCCACCACCTCTTCTGTTGAACAGTACTCCATCTCTGTTATGCCCTTCTCAGTTAGGTCATACACTAAGTGAAGCTTCATACCAAGGTGCTTAGTGCGCACAGCCATTTTTTCTGATTGAGAAATTTTAATAAAGCTCTAGTTGTCTTATCTTGAATTGGTTTTTGCTCATCATCTTGAAAGTCCTTAAGTAACTGGTCTAGTCACAACTGTTCTCTGCATGCTTCAGTAGATGCTATATATTCAGACTCTGTGGAAGACAAACTTACTGTAGTTTGCATTCTACTGGCTCAGAAGATTGCTCCACCTCCATACAAGAATAAGTACCCACTTGTGGATTTATAGTCTAAGGCTAAATTGTCTCCTGCCCAATCTGCATCTGTGTAACCAACCAATTTTGGATTATTGGTGGATGACAATTTTAGTTTCAAATCTAAAGTTCCTTTTAGATATCTAGCCACCCTTTTTACTGCAACCCACTCTTCCTTGCTAGATGCACTTGTCTTTCTACTAAGGATCCCAACACTGGTTGCAGTACTGGGTCTGCTAGTGGTGCTTAGGTATAGTTTTCCTATGGTGTTTCTGTACTGATTGTCTTTAGGTAAAGGCTCACTTATTTGGGGGCTCTTAAGAAAGCAAATTTCCATAGGTGTTGCCACTGTGTTGGCATTTTCTAAACCTAATGTCTGTAAGAGTTCAATTATTTTTTGTCTCTGGCTTAGGAAAAATAAACCATCTTCCTCCCTTTCAATTTGTATGTCCAGGAAGTAAGAAACATCTCCAAGCAGCTTCATTTCTGCTTCCCTGTTTAGGCAATCTACCACATTGTTATAGTCCATTTGCCTGTCATAACTCAGAATCAAGTCATTAACATAGGCGAGAATAAAAGTACAGTGTCTATCTTTGTGTTTACTGTACAAACATGAATCAGCTTCTCTTTGTTTAAAGCCTTGCACTATGAGCATCATGTGTAATTTTTGATTCCAGGTACATGCTGCCTGTTTTAGTCCATACAGCCACTTCTGCAGTTTGCAGACTAAATTTGGTTGTTTGGGGCCTATAAAACTTTCTGGCTGCTCCATGTACAGATCTTCCTGGATCTCCCCATGAAGAAATGCTGTCTTTACATCTAGATGTTTGCCCTGCATCTTCTTGGTTGCTGCTATGCTCAAACATAATCTGACTGTACTGTTTCGCCAATGGTGCAAAAGTTTCCTCAAAGTCCTAACGATATTTTTATGAGAAGCCTTTAGCAACTAACCTTGCTTTGTAGCATTCCACATTTCTGGCTGCATTTTGTTTGACCTTAAATGTATTTATTCATTTGATTTGTACCCCGCCCTCCCTGTCGAGGCAGGCTCAGGATGGCTTACAATAAAATTTAGAATAAATTTAAGAACAAGTTAAAACCATAAAAACAATTCTAATGTGCTATATAAATATTACATATAT